CAATGATACCAATTCCCAAACCAAAAAGAGATGGCTTGGACCCACAAAACTATCGACCTATCTCTTTAACCAGTTGCTTGTGTAAAACAATGGAAAGGATAATAAACAACAGGTTGATTTGGCATTTGGAATCAAACAATCTTATTTCCAACTTACAATGTGGGTTCCGTAGTAAAAGAGGCACAATAGACCACTTAATACGCCTTTTGAAACAAATATTAGAGAAGCATTTATCAAAAGGAACACCTTACAGCTATATTTTTTCGATCTAGAAAAGGCTTATGATCTGACGTGGAAATATGGAGTAATGAGGGACTTGAGTAACCTGGGTATAAAGGGTAGATTGCCACAGTTTATTGATGGATTCTTATCTGAAAGAAAATTCAGAGTTCGTGGTCGACTCTACACTTTCAGATGTGAAAAATCAGGAAGAGGGTGTCCCACAAGGCAGTATATTGTCCGTAACACTATTTAACATAAAATAAACACTATAATCAAGGAAATACCACCAGGAACCGATGGATCACTATATGTGGATGACCTTATGATATGTTATAAATCAAAATATATCCACACAATCGAATCGAAAACTGCAACAGGGTCTAAATAAAATCAGCAGATGGGCAACAACAAATGGATTCAAGTTCTCTAAAACAAAAACAAAATGTGTCCATTTTTGTCACAAAAAGGAAACTCCATAATGACCCTAGGCTGAAACTTGACGGTTCAGAGATCCCAGTTGTAGATGAATACAAGTTTCTGGGGGTAATATTTGACAAAAAACTAACATTTATTCCCCACCTGAAATACTTAAAAACCAAATGTAACAAAACATTACAACTACTGCTGGCGTGGTAGCCCACACAAAATGGGGAGCAGATCGAAACACTCTGTTATTATTGTATAGATCCCTAATTAGATCAAAATTGGATTACAGTATTTTTTATATACGTTCAGCCAGAAAATCCCCTGTTAAAAAATGCTTGACCCGATCTACCATGGAGGTTTGAGGTTAGTACTGAGCCTTTAGAACGTCTCCAGTCGAGAGCCTATATGCTGAGGCTAACGAAGCACCTGCAAATAGTAGAAGCCATAAACTGGCCCTCCAGTACTATGTCAAATTAGGGTCATGCCCAGCAAATCCCTGCGCACAATAGTACCTTCTATCCAAAATACAAAGAATTATTCCAAAGGAATGAAAAAGCCATAAAACCCTTTGGACTTCGGATGGAAACAATTATAGAAGAAGCAGATGTAGATTTGACAAAAATCCATAAAACAATCATACCAGATATCCCACCTTGGACCATAAGAACCCCAAACATAAACTTAACCCTCTGTAAATACTTCAAAATAAAACCCACCCACTAATTTTCCAAGAGGAATTAGAGAAAGTTAAGGAGAGATATCCTAGGCACTCACATGTCTTCACAGATGGATCTAAAGTAGGAAAAATAACAGGATGTGCCGCAATATATAATAGGAAAATATTTAAAAAACATCTCCCAAATGACACCTCTATATTCAGTGCAGAAGTTTATGCGCCAATTAACATGGCTCTTAACCTCATCTCAGAATCAAGGAACAACAAGTTCATTATCTTTTCTGATTCACTATCAGTATTAGAATCACTAAAAACAGGAAGTTTGATAATCCATTGATAGTGAAAATACTATATGTAAATTAGAACACCTATCAAATGATAATGATATACAGATATGTTGGGTCCCAGGTCACACTGGAATCGGTGGAAATGACCAGGCAGATAAAGCAGCCAGGTCTACTCTAAATATGACCATAGGAAAAAATTTCAAAATACCATATACAGACCTTAAAATGAAGATAAATAAATACATACTGCAACAAAGACAACAACGCTGGAACAGCAATAGTAATAATAAATTACTAAAAATTAAACCTGAATTGGGAGAATGGAAACAGAGCTATAGGAAAAATAGAAAAGAGGAAGTGATATTGTCCAGACTTCGAATAGGCCATACAAGGACAACACATGCCTACTTACTTGAAGCAAAGCAACAACCAATGTGTTATGCATGCCAGACCGCATACACAGTGAAACACATTCTCATTGAATGTACTGACCTAGCCCATATAAGAGAAACGCTTTATAGTGCAAGTAACATGAAGGAACTGTTCCAAAAACTGACATGGATAACATAATATCGTTCCTGAAAGCAGTCAATTTGTACCAAAAAAATCTAAAAACATAAAAGTTGGGAGTTTTCTGCAAACTTTTGCTGCAAGGAATATTTTCAACAAAATCTGATTCTTTCTGCATACCATTTCTCAAAAAAGGAAGAAACTTCCCTACGATACAATTCTCTACAAAAAAATTTTTTTGACAGAACCAGATTTTTTCTACAAACCATTTCATTTCTAAAAACCTTTTCAGCATGGCAAACCTCTCCGTTTGTGGAAATGGAAGGGTCTATTATATTGGAAAATAATATTCCAATAATAACCTGATTTGACATTAAATGACTGAGGAGGTCGATATGTCGTAAAACACAAACAAACAAACAAACAAACAAAATACATGATGATTAACAAAAAAGACAGCTAAGCTGATTTATCAGCCCTCTCTTACCAGAGCTAAGATAAAAACCCCAAATCTGCAAAACAACTAAAACTGAAAATACAAGATCTAATGTTATATGAAAAAAAAAATACAACCCTTATAAGTTAATTACTTTTAAGCCCACCAAACACTCCTTCTGCCAAGAGAGATGGCTGGTAGGATTTAATATAAACAGATTGTAATGCTTTCAAATGAAACTAAAAAATGTCTAGCTATAAGACTGAGTGTGTTGCTGTTTTTTTTTTTTTTTTTTAAATCAAATGTTCAGCTATAACTGAACAGGTTGTATTCATTCACCTATGCAAATTGTCCACCTTGACCATGTGAATATTGGTTGATTGATCTTCACTTTCAACCTTTTGATTCATTTGGTCTACACCGTCAGTATTCCATTGACATCTAACTTAGTAAATTACCAATCTGATATGATGGGTAGATAGACGTTTTTCTTTTATGTGCCTAGTCATTTCAGGATGTAGGCAATCATGTCTCTACACAATTTCCTATCTTTTGTTGCTCTAAGTAATTACCATTCCAGTTGTCCCTGTTCTGTAGTACACTCACACATGCCCGTTAGGTATGTTACTTGTTGTTTCCCCACTACTTCTCTTGCCTCCATTATGCCTTGTGAGTGTTATATTCTTTGTGCCCTTTTTCCTCATTATTTGTCTTGGATATTTCAACTGCCTCTTATTGTAAGTATTAGTTTCTTTATAGTTTGGAAACTGTAGAGTATTTAGCCATTGTTAAATGTAACTGGCAGAAATGCCCAACAAACAGAATTTACAACGTCTACAATAAACAATAACAAGAGAATGAAAAGAACAGGGTAAAAATAATATTGAGCAAACAATATATGTAAGGCAAAACAAGAGCAGTAAGGCAAAGCAACAGTAATAAGGCAAAAATTTAACAAATTAAGAATGGTGTTAACACACAAAAGGGGACTAAACTGTATTAAATTGTCTAATGTAGATGAATACATTAGATATTAGGTAGAAGTACTTTTATTTAACCTTGGTAAATGAGTGACCTAACAGTTAATAGTTTAGAACTGGTGATATAGCTTGTCTTTGAACTAATGCTCTCATCTCACAAAAAACATAAGACAATTTCTTCTTGCTCCCAACAAAGCTATGGGTAAAATAGCAAAGTACACTAGGCTCTATAGCTCCAGTTGGTAACTATTTTAGTAGTACAACTGAAATCGGAACTTGGATTGGGAACCACTCTTAGTTCAAGCTGTGGGTAAAAATAGCAAAAAGTATTGGGTGGGGCTTGCAAACCCACTCTGTAAGGAAAAAAATCCTACTTACTAAAAAAACATGATCAGCATAGAAGCTAAAGGACTAATTGGAGAAGCTGTTATAAATCTAACAAAATTTATCAGTCCTGATATTCCCATCCTAGTAATAAGATATTCCGTTGTTAACAGAAGACATAAGCAAATATGCTTCATGTTACATAACAATGGAACATCTTGTTACTATATAAGGGAGAGCAGATTGAACATATATTGCTTTTTGTTTCCTATCAGCTATCTTTACTTTTAATGATTTAAGAAGCAAAATTCTTTAGTGAGTATATAATATATTGTAATATGTAAAAGGTTCGTATTAGCTTTCTTTGGATATTTTGGCCTTTTTAATAATTTTAGAAGCCAAATCCTTTCTTATGTGTGACAATAGAATTAATTGTATAGATAACATAACATAGCTTCCGTATCGCCATTTCTATAAATATTTTTATGGTAATTGTTCTGAAGAGTTTCCTCTTTGGTGTCTTGATTTTATGAATTTAAATGCAGTACTAGGTCGGCAGCTAGGTCCCATCATTTTACAGTTAAAAGGCTAGATTTAATGATAAGTTCTATGCCAACAGATTCTTTTCTTGCACTTCTTTGTAGAACTCCCTTTTGGTGGCTTGCTTTCAGGTCTTTGATCTTCAAAAATTTAAATGCAGTGCCAATCATTATCTTCCTATTCTTTTGTTGACCTCACTCTGTAATAACGTTTTTTTTTTTTTTTTCATTCTCAGATTCTTTCGCACTCAGTAACCGCTTGAATCTTAGCAGCTTTATCACCTTACTTGGTTTGAAATGATCTAAAAAAGAAAAATGTTAACTTTCTTAGGATGCAAATCCACAACTTTCCTCATCACATAGCTACATATGCCAGTACCTTATCCTTGTGTCTATACAGTGAATTTGGAGAAACCTCTATTGTCAGCATGCTACATGTCTCCCCAGATATTTTGAATAATGGTATAATTATTATTAGCATAAAGCAAGACATTTCTTTTCCTGCTCTCCACTTAGTTTTTTTTTTTTTTTTTTTTTTAATTACTATATTCCCCACCCCTTATTCCTGGTAATTGGATTTTGTTTGTCTTGTTTACGAAGGTCCCTCAAGATCCAAGTCTTCAGAGCAAAATGCTTCCCGACCAACTATGCCTCCCGAGCCTGGATTACCTCGTGTCCCTTCAGTCACTTCAAACATACCTGAAGTCCCATTTGAAAGAGGCAAATTCAAAAGCGAAGGTAACTATTTTGAAGCAACTTATTCACAAGAAATTAGCGTCGTTTTGTTTCACATACAATGATGATTGTTTTAACGGTCCTTACTGGTTAATACATAATGAAAAAAAACCGGGGTAAATTAACTTTTATTTGAATTTCAGTAAAACTACATTTGTTTATTCTCTTTTAAATATTTTTTATTCTATTTATTTATTTTTCTAATCATAAGAAGATCTCTATTGACCTGATGAAATTTAATACATTTTAATTAAAAAAAACAAAAACAAATTATAAAATCTTACATTATATCATGGAGACTATTCTGAATGGTCATTTCCATTTTACTGTTCACTTGTTCTGTTAAGTACTTTTGGTAATGACATTTTCTTTCTTTTCTTCTACTGATTTTGATCCATATCCTCCTGGTGTCATTTTAAACTGACAATTCTTTTTTTTTTTTTTTTTTTTTGCTTAAAGTTCATATTTTTTTTTTTACTTTAGATGAAAACTTGGAAATTTTCCAGCATATTTTATTGGAATTATAGCTTATAATTATAGTTTAGATATATTTGGAAAAAAAAAAAAAAAGTGTAACTTTAAACATGCTAAAGAAGAGTAATTTATTAATTATTTTTATATTTAAAAAAATCAGTATTTTTAAAAAGCTCGAGTCACCAAGCACAAGGCTTCCATGTTATGGCTATATTTTAAACTGGATGCTAAATTCCTTTAAGGAGTGGATAATCCTTTAACTTTTGCCTTCCACAAGAAATTTAAATCCATCATTATCAGCCTCTCTAAAATAGCAGATTCTTAATAAATCCCTTTAAATTGAAAACTGTACTGTACCTAATCTTCACATATAAGGCCAAACATTCAAAAACTTGTCGAAGTACATGAAGCCCAATGTTCACACATGCATACTTAATGAAATGTCTTATATTAAATACTTATTTCAGGAAACATTATTTTCCCATTTCATGACTAATTTTTACTTATTAAAATTTAGAGTGCATCCCAGAATTTTAGTTTTTCTACAAATGTGCCTTGAAGTAAAAAAAAAAAAAGAAAAGGAAAGAAAAACAGGGGATTGAGAAATATTGCTTTAGACTGATGCCAGCAGGATATGTTAAATTAAACCAAAAATATTCAGGGTGTTGGTTTGCTGTCAGTTATCTTTTTTTTTTTTTTTTCCTTATCTTTTGATTAAACGTGTTTCTTCTCAAATTATGCAATAATTTTTAGTAATCTTTTTAGCTGGAAATGTTTTAATATTTTTTAAAGAAATTTTTCCTTAAATCATTAATTGATTTCATGTACTTTAGATGATACAGGAAGAAAAGAAACAAACAAAAAATAAACACTCTCTTTAGTCTGTTTATATACACATGAAATAATTTTTGTGTATATTCTCTATATCTTTCCTCAGTTTATTCTGAGGCAAAGAAGCTAGCATCATGTAAACAGATTTTAAATTGATATTAAACAAGTATTCAAATATGACACTAATATTTGAATAACCATTTAGTTTCTTTGTGATATTGCGTGATCATTTTTACTTAACTCAATTCCTCATATTATTATGATTACAATTAATGTGAATTATTATTAAGGGAGAAAACAGCTTGCCAACAAAGTGACTCTAGAGTACAAATATATAAACCCTAATATACTTAACATGACACCCAGTCTCATAAGTGTATATCAAGCACATGCATTACAGTCAAATGTAAGTGATATTCTGACAGCTTTTGATAAAAGCAGCACATCAAGTTGCAGGTGGGACCCAGTTAGAAATGCCTTCAGGTTGGCTAACCTGGTCCTGCTCAGGTAGTCTTTGAGTGAGGGTGTTTCCAAGTATGTAAATGTCACTATCTAGTCACCTTAACTGCTTTGTCCTTCAGATCTAAAAAAAATAATAAAGAAACCAACTTTGATGCTTCTTCACTACTCTCACTTATGAACAGAGATGTTTAATGTATCATCTCCTAGGCGACATGTTCAACTGGTTAAAGTCAGACAATTAACAAGCAAATCTGTGGTACTGAACAGTATATTTACTCTGGCCAATAATCTTCATTAACCAAGATAAGGCATGTATCTATTAACACTTCTAATCAAACAACATGAGAGCCATGCCTGTATGTTATAAAGCCATTATTATTATTATTATTATTATTATTTAAAATCTAATATAGTTATTCAGATAGTAGATTTGTAATTTTATTTTTACAAAGTGATAATCTAAGTACTGTACTAAGTTATCTGTCTCCATGACAAGGCTTAATAGTTGCATTCCAAATGACTTCTCAAGGATTCATTGTAGTTTGCAGTTATTTTTGAAGAGCCTATGTTCAGGACTTTGCTTCTGATTTCTGTTGTGCAGAGACATAGCTAAATATCTTTCTGTAAATTTTTAAAAACTTATCTCCAATCTTTCTGATTGGCTGATTTAATCTGATCACAAAATGAAATCCATCCCTGCAACAATTGAAACTGTGTCTTTAAGATAGTTTATATTCATTTGAAATTTACTGTGTAGAAGTACTGTGACGTATTTTATGTCAAAATTTTTCAGATAAGCACTTATGTGCCTTTCTATTTGGACTGACATGTTCATCTTGGTTGTTACACTCACAAAGTTTAGGCCATTATATCCTCCAAGACTTCTTCAGGTGTCTGTCATTGTATTTGGTATCTGTCTTGAAATTTTGAACTGAATCCTTTCGTCAATCTGGGAGAGTAATTAGACAGTTCTTATTCTGCTTTTCATATCAGTTAGAACTCAAGTTTTATTGACATTCATTTTTCACTGTAGCTCATCAGTAGACCTAGCATAAAGATGAACACCTTTTGGGAGCCTCTGATTATGTGGTGAACATGCATCAGTACAGATGTAAAAGAGGCTCTGGATCATGTGCAATCATGTCTGTCAAAACCAGTTACATCCAGGTTTTTCCCATTAGCAGTGGTACAGCTTTGCATGTCTAGGTACAGGACTCTCTGCAACTGGTCAAGATTTGAGTCTTTGTAAAATGCCTCATGCCAATAAAAGCAATGGGAAAATCAGTAGTTAGCAAGACATGGTGTCTTGTGTAGTCTGTTCTGTGGGCATTTTGTTCCTAAAGTTGCTGTGCTTTCTGAGGCAGTATTATTTTTGTTACCTCCTGTCTCTTTTCCCTCTCTGCCTATTACCCCCATAGTTGCTGGGTGCCCCACTCAATCTCAACACACTCTTGCTGTACATTACAACAGATTTAAAAAAAGAGCACAAATAAAATTCTGCTACCTGAGTAAAAACATTGTTTAAAACTACAAAATTATGGTACAGGATTGATAAAGAGGCACATGGTTTCATGGATTAAAGCATTAGTTAAAACCGATCCGGTTCACTGTCATGTGTGAGTTCAATTCTTGGGTCTGGTAGTGCCGAAAAATCTAGAAGAAATGGACACATGTCTCAAAGGTGAATAAGCCTAATATTTCATGTCCATTAAGCATGGGATGAGAACAATTTAAAACTGTGGATTGAATAAAGTTTTCATTAGTGAGAATAACACAGCTGAAGAAAACTGGAGGGTGCAGTAGCTGAAATGTTGTGACTATAAGAACCAGATGAACATGCTGGTCTGAATACTAAGATATATAGCACTGTGACATATCTTTTGGTTTACAAAAATGTCTTAATGACTTTTTTGTTATCACTTGAGAGAAGAAAAAAAAAAAAAGAAAAGTACTAAAATTTTAGTTTCCAATTTTTCCTGTGGCATATTTCTATGTAAATGATGAATGTTCTCCATTTGGTAAACATCTCCGTGTTTATGAAAAATAAAACTGTATCAAGCATTAGTATTAGTTTTTGTAAAGAGTTGTACTTTATAAATTTTTTTTTTTTATTACATTTTAAAATTAATTTAAAAAAAAAAAAAAAAAAGAAACAAATCCAGTTGAAATTTTTAATGTATTTTTATTATCAATTCACCCCAAGCAAGGCAACAATGCCACTAAGATGCAAGGGGCTACTGAGAGTGAAAGAGAATGAATGAGAAAACTTTAGAAGGTACCGGAAAGTCAATTCTAAACAGGAAACAACAGATAAACCTCTACTTTTAAAGTTAGTGTATCTATCTTTTTTTGTTTATGAAAGAAAAAACAAAAAAGAAATATGTGTGTATGGATAGAAAGTGAGGTATCAGTTCTGTATTGTTATTAAGTAATAATATGACACCCCCATTAATTACTCAGTATCTATATAAGTAAAAAAAAATATTTATTAATGATTCACATATGAAAACATTCTAATAATACATTCTGTCTGAAGTTATTGAACAAATCATATAATCTTCAATAATTCAAATCTGGTTTGAAAAAAAAATTGTCAAATTTTAAACAATCAATTTAGATGTCAAAACAAAGTCTGAGTTAAAATTTTATGTAGTATGAATATGTTTTATTGAAGTCATTTGATGCATTCTAAAAAAGTTGCCATTTGAAATTATTAGGCAAAACACAATAATCACATTTTACTTCAATAAAAAGGTAATAAAATCATCAAAAATTGATCAACACCAATAATAGAACCAGTAACAAACACATAACAAGTCTTTGAATCCTTTACATTTTAATATCGTGACCCTTCTCAATAACAGCCAGTAATCTAGCATCCATTGATTTTGTTAATTTTTTTTTGCTTCAGCAAGTTCAGTTACCAATTGGTTTGTTTTGCTATAGCTCGCTTTAGTTTATGTTCATCTTGAAGAAGCAAGCTCTTAAAACTTTTTCCTTTGCTTCAAATTCTCAATTTATTTATATTTTCAACAGCCTTTTTTTATTATGCAATGAACTCTGTAAAGTTCCTTTGATATCTCCAATGTGGACAATTCCTCACTCAATAACTTTGTTTTTCAGCAGTTGTTAGATCCTTCCCTTTACCAATGTTTCAACTTTATATTATGGACAAAAAGAAAAAAATAGTTTCTATTAGATCTCAGTGGTCTTAGCTAAGATTAGTTTAATCTGTATAATAACTTCAGGCAGTCCATTTTCATAAATTCCAAATACCTCAAAAACTAACCATTAAAAATGGCAGAAAATTTAATTCAATATTTTAGTAAGGGTGGAAATAAATGAGTTTAAATTTGACAAATATTGGTTTCAGAACTTTTTCAGTTATTGAGGTTTATTTGATTTGCATAATAACTTCAGACAGGCTGTAGTTAAATTCAAAATATTTCTTCATTTTTTTTTTTTTTTTTTTTTATCAATTCACCCTTAGCAAGGCAATAATGCTACTAAGATGCAAGTGGTTACTAGGAACTAGGAGGGAAAGAGAATGGGAAGACTTTACTTTAGAAGGTACCAGAAACCCAATCTTAAACTGGAAACAAGGGATAAAGCCTCTACTCTTATTGAAACCTATCTACTCCCATTTATTAGTTATTATATAAGAAAATTTATTTAATTTTTAAATTCATTTTAATTGAGTTTTGGTTTATTTGTTACCATTATTTATTTGGTGTTATGTTGTACATCTATCATAACCATTTTCATTTTAAAAATGGTGATCTGTTTAAATTGGAAGATGAGTTTCTTCTTTATTTTAATTCATTTCTCTCTCTCTCTCTCTCTCTCTGGATTCCTTTGTCTTTATCACATGCCTCCTTCTCTTTCTTGGGTTTCATTTGTCTTTATCCCCCCTCTCCATTACTCTCTCTCTCTGGTTTCCTTTGTCTTTATCACCCCCCCTCTTTCTCTCTCTCTCTCTGGTTTCCTTTGTCTTTACCCCCCTTCTCTCTCTCTCTCTGGTTTCCTTTGTCTTTATCCCCCCATTTCTCTCTCTCTCTCTCTGGTTTCCTTTGTCTTTATCCCCCATCTTTCTCTCTCTGGTTTCCTTCGTCTTTATCCCCCCCCATATTTCTCTCTCTGGTTTCCTTCGTCTTTATCCCCCCATCTTTCTCTCTCTCTCTGGTTTCCTTTGTCTTTATCACCCCCCATCTTTCTCTCTCTCTCTCTCTGGTTTCCTTTGTCTTTATCACCCCACCCCCATCTTTCTCTCTTTCTCTCTCTCTCTCCGGTTTCCTTTGTCTTTATCACCCCACCCCATCTTCTCTCTCTCTCTCTCTCTCCAGTTTCCTTTGTCTTTATCACCCCACCCCCATCTTTCTCTCTCTCTCTGGTTTCCTTTGTCTTTATCACCTCCCCCTCTATCTCTCATATATATATATACACACACACTATCATTTAGCCATCTCTCAAAAGTTATTAACATTTGATTAAAGTATTGTATCATAGATCAACTATTTTGTCATGGAAAATGCCATCTTCTTTAAGCAACACTTCCCATACAATCACTCTGGTCAGTACCTAGATGGGTTTCTGCTTGGGAATGTCACTTGCTGTAAGCTTAGGTGCATGGGTGGTGTAATGGATAAGGGATCAAAATTGTTAATTGGAGAGCAGAGTTCCAATTACTTTTGGGTTTATTATATTCACTTACATGCAAAACCCTGTGTGAAGTATGAATTGGCCTTTTCTACTTTTCTATGGGTTAATTAGTAAGATTTGTATCACTAAACCATTATTATCTCCCACCTCCCAAACATTCTTACAATCTAAAAATATTTTCTGGCTTTAAATAACCTGCAAAGTGTTGATAAACCTTAGAAAATGAATCAATCAGTAAACCAGAGTTGATATATCGTTAAATTAAACAACAGAATATCTTCAATTTATATTAAATGAGCTGCTAATTCCAATATTTCTTAACATTTTAAAGTTTGCTGTAAAATATTTAATAATACAAAAAATATTAAGTTTATTAAAATTGTTTTAGGTCAGTCACTTAGAAACATAGGAAAGTATTTTACCTGTTGTATCTTTCTTTTTTTTTTATATTGCTGATGTCTCAGTTCTGTTTTTTTGATAGCTAATTAATTCTGAATACCCCACTCTTAGAGATCCTTTTGGAATTCCAATGCTTTCTTGGATAATAAAGAACAATTATATTTAAATTAAATAGTTTTTTTTTTGTTTTGTTTTTTTTTTACATTTTTTTATTTCAGTTTAAACGATTAAAAAAAAAACAACAACAAACTAAATGGATGAACAGTAATTAAATAAGGATTTTAAAATTAATTTATTTTAAGATGAATGGTGTAACAAGGGTTTTTTATTATGCATATTAAAGTTTCATTTCTTGTATAAATCCATGATAATGATATTAATTATAGTAATAAATTGTATAAATTTTGAAAGTATTTTTTTTTTTTTTCCATACTTTACAGAACAAGTATTTTTTTTTTCTCATCTCTATCATAAATACTGAACTGTAAATAATGTGGAATGGAAATTATAGCCATTTTGGATTTAGTCTTTGTTTTGATAACGCTTATTTCAAAATAGACAAATGTAATATGCTTTATAGTTCATTAAAATACATTTTCTTATATAGACCTAAATTCAAGGTATAAATTATTTGATACTTTTCTTTTTTCATGGTATATCTTTAATATTAAGAGTTTTTGCAATATTTTATGTTGTTTTTTTTTTGTTTTTTTTTTTTTTACTTCAGTTTTTATTGGCCATTACTTTCATTTTGAGAAGTTTCTTTGCCTTTTTGGCTGACTTTAAATTTGAAACATCCTTTCAACCTTTTATCACAAGTCTGCTTTAAAATGTTCTTGTTGTACAACATAAATGTCCACTAGTTGATTGATTTATTGACCTATGAAATTTGTTTCTTCATGTCTTATTTGGTTCGAGTTTCTCAGTCCTCTTTCATCAGTTCTTCTTGTGCATTATTTTCATTTTCTCTTTGTTTGGTGGCAAACAAAACCAAACCAATGATTTACTGGTTTTGTTTTGTTTTGTTTATTTTTTTTTTGTTTTAAATAACAACTCTTACGGTTTTTTGCTTTTTAAAGTTTTAAAAAGCAAAGGAAAACTAAAAGACATTCTGGTGTTGCATTGCTTCATTTCCCCCGTAACAGGCGCAGGAGGACTGAAGGGCAGGACAGAGTTGCATAAGCAGCGTTCATTAAGTGGGGAACCCTCTCCTTGTCACTCACGTACCGCATCAGTTGCTTCTGACTCTATGGTCAGAAGTAGCAGTGAGGGTAACATAGCTGACCCCAGGGAACTGGCAGAGAGGTTGAAAGGTATGATAGTACTCCTTCTGGAAACTACTCGTTTAGCTTTTCTTTTTTTTTTTCTCTTTTTTTTTTTTGCTAAGTCTGCTGCTCTTGTTGTACATAACTGAATAATTTTTAAATGCTTTCAAAAGAAGCATGAGCTTTTCTCTTGTCATTTTTAAAAAAAAATTCTTTTTCTCTTCCCACTCTTAGTGTGTCTGTGTCCCCTTTGCCCCCTCCTAGTGTGTCTGTGTCCCTCCATTTGTCCACTTCTCATTTGATTTTGTCCACTTTTCTCCCCGTCTTTTCTGCTCCCTTTTTGCCCTCCTCATCGTCTGCCTGTGTCCCCCTTTGCCCTCCTCATCGTCTGCCTGTGTCCCCCTTTGCCCTCCTCATCGTCTGCCTGTGTCCCCCTTTGCCCTCCTCATGTCGTCTGCCTGTGTCCCCCCTTGCCCTCCTCATCGTCTGCCTGTGTCCCCCTTTGCCCTCCTCATCGTCTGCCTGTGTCCCCCCTTGCCCTCCTCATCGTCTGCCTGTGTCCCCCTTTGCCCTCCCCATCGTCTGCCTGTGTCCCCCCTTTGCCCTCCTCATTCGTCTGCCTGTCCCCTTTGCCCTCCTCATCGTCTGCCTGTGTCCCCCTTTGCCCTCCTCATCGTCTGCCTGTGTCCCCCTTTGCCCTCCTCATCGTCTGCCTGTGTCCCCTTTGCCCTCCTCATCGTCTGCCTGTGTCCCCCTTTGCCCTCCTCCATCGTCTGCCTGTGTCCCCTTTTGCCCTCCTCATCGTCTGCCTGTGTCCCCCTTTGCCCTCCTCATCGTCTGCCTGTGTCCCCCTTTGCCCTCCTCATCGTCTGCCTGTGTCCCCCTTTGCCCTCCTCATCGTCTGCCTGTGTCCCCTTTGCCCTCCTCATCGTCTGCCTGTGTCCCCCTTTGCCCTCCCTCATGCGTCTGCCTGTGTCCCCCCCTTTGCCCTCCTCATCGCCCTCCTCATGTCTGCCTGTGTCCCCTTTGCCCTCCTCATCGTCTGCCTGTGTCCCCCTTTGCCCTCCCTCATCGTCTGCCTGTGTCCCCTTTGCCCTCCTCATCGTCTGCCTGTGTCCCCTCCCTCCTCATCGTCTGCCTGTGTCCCCTTTGCCCTCCTCATCGTCTGCCTGTGTCCCCCCTTTGCCCTCCTCATCGTCTGCCTGTGTCCCCTTTGCCCTTGCCCCTCCTGCCCAGTCCTTTGCCTGTGTCCCCCTGTTGCCCTCCTCATCGTCGTCTGCCTGTGTCCCCTTTGCCCTCCTCATCGTCTGCCTGTGTCCCCTTTGCCCTCCTCATCGTCTGCCTGTGTCCCCCTTTGCCCTCCTCATCGTCTGCCTGTGTCCCCCTTTGCCCTCCTCATCGTCTGCCTGTGTCCCCCTTTGCCCACCTTGTCTATCCCTTTCTCTCTCTTTGTCTTTCCCCACTTGGTTGTCTGTCCCCACACTCTTTATCTCTGTCTTTTACCCTCCTTGTCTATCTGTTGGTCCCTTCCTTTTTTCTCTCTATCTATCCCACTTTCCCCATCTCTCTCAGAGTTTTTTCTCCCCCCTCTGTCTCTCTTTCTCTCATGCTCTCTCTTCTTTTTGCTCTTTAAAAAAAAAAAGATGCTGGATTATTTGAATATATAATGGCTATGGATAGTTTTTCATTTTTATCTGCTTTTGTCTGCATGTAGACATTGTTTTGAAAAAAAAATCTGTTGTGCTTTTTCTTTTGTTTCATAACTCACAACACAACAATTTATTTCTGTAAAATTACTGCAGCATTAAATATTTTATGTTTATCATATTGGGGAAAATGTTGGAATAATTAAAAAAAAAAAAAATTTTATTTTTTTCTTTTATTTATTATTAAAAGCTAAAAATGCATAAGCCTTTTAACAAAGCAAAGAACAGTATATTTTAAAAAAAATTAAATATTAGTGCAAAAAAAAAAAGGCAAATAAAAAAACAAGTGTTTTTTGAGTTTTTTTTTTTTAATTGTAAGCAACAGTAGCCAAAATATCCAATGCTTTCAAGATTCTTCATAAATGGTCACCAACTGCAATAAATTCCTGATTGCATTTACATTTTGTTGCCCTTAGGAAAATCGAAACATTTCAGAATAAACAGTAGGCTGATTTTTAAAAACTGAAATATTTTTACCAGTCCAATTGCCATTATGTAATGTCTTCTCGTTTCCTGATACACATAATGTATACATATTTAACGTGACAAATTAATAAATTTGGTCAGTAAAGAAAATTGTTGTGTTGGTGGTATATGGAACAAATCTAATTTTCATTTCAGTATTTGTTTATTAATATTTTTTTTAATATTTAAAATGTAGACACTCTTGCTCTTTGCTTGTTTCTTAATTAACAATTCTGTCAGTGATTGCTTATCTTTGTGTGAGATTGTGTTGGAAATTTAATTTGCGACTTTTAGAAAGTTTTGTTTGCAAAGCTCACTTTGTAGTTTTGTGACCCATTCTTCACATTTTTTTGAAAAATATACTGGTTTGTGATTTACTGTGTAACACGATTTTTGTCTTTGGGTAGCAACAGTTATTTCCTAATTGCTTATGTCTAGAAAGTATGAAAAATGCCTAATATTTCCTTCAAACTTTACTTTTGTGACCAGGATAATGATATTTCTGAAATTTACCTGTTCCCATTGGGAAAAGTGGTAAATGCGTTCACATAAAGTAGAAACAAAATAATATATGATTCAAAAAGTAGCTTTAATTTATTCTAGGATTACAGTAATGTTTACTAACCAAAGACAAAAAAATGTTTACTAACCAAAGACAAAAAAAAGTCAATTTTGTGACACAGTGATTCAATCTTTGTTACTAACCTAGTTGCTTGATGGTATCAGTAACTAAAAGTAGCTGCTGTTTCTTAAGAAAATGACCATTATTTAATAATAAAATGAATTTAGATAACAAAAAAAAAAAAAAAAAAATAAAATAAGAAAAGACAACTCCTTCAAGGAATTGGTTATAAGTTTGCTAGGGAAATTTTGAAAAAAATTTAAATTTGAAAATTGAAATATTTTAAGATTAATCCTTTAGAATTTTTGGTAGTAGAAAAGTTGGTTTATATTTTTATGATTGTGATTTAAAAAAAAAAAAAAAAAAAGTGCTAGCAAAAATGTTATTTTGACTTAAGAAATATTTAAAAAAAAACATTTTTATTGTAATCTTAAATGTTTTCTGCTTTTGTTTTTTGTTTTTTTTCAAATTCCATTTTTGACAAGTAATTTTACATTTCTCCATCTGATTTATTGAGGGGATGATGAGTTATTATTTACACCACTAAAGGGTGTGATGGATAAGTTGTTTTATGTGAAAATGAAAATAACATTTAGTAGATATATTTACCAAATTTACACAAAAATATTTTGAAATCCTAGGGTAATTTTATTCAATAAAATCACCATTGGCTTCAACCATGGCTTCTAGATGACTTCCGAATCTTAGTGAATACTGCCATAATTCTTGGTGTTACAAGAAGTTTTGTTGGTCGCTTGCTCAACTATGCCCCACATATAATAATCAAGGGGGTTGCAGTCTAGTAAGTTGGGTGGAAGGGATGATGTGGTCGCAAAAATTGTCTGACAGCCATGACTGGGTTCTCCTGCATGTGTGGCATGGTACAGTCCTGTTGCCAGATATAGGGTCTTCCAGCAGCCACTCTCTTGACCCTGGGCAACACTACCTCCTCAAGGCACTTTATATAGGTCTCTGTGTTGAGTCTGAGGCCTTGTGGGAAGATGAATGGAGGCATAATGTCACCATCATTCCAAAAGACTCGTACAACTCTTTCCAAAGCTTCTGCATTATCCTCAGATTGACACCTAAACACTCTGAAATGTGCATCTTGGAGCTTCCAGTGCAAATGCCAAGCAGTACAGCATGCCATTTCCAAATTTCTGGCAGAGTGAATTACGTCATAGTGTTCTTTTTCTCACAGACAGTGTCCAGCTGACCCTACTATACTGTGCATTTGACAAAAACACACATGTGCCAAATTACAAATATAAAATCACAACAATTTACCCATCCCACCCTGTATTTACATTCCGACTATTGTCCCCATTTTTGTTATCATCACAATATTTTGGCTGTTGTGTCCTCTGGATCCAAGTTCTTTAAAGAGAATTGTCCAATGGGATAAAAGCCTAGTGGATTAAAGTATTGATTTGTGAATTTGGTGACATAGTAATTGTGAGTTCAATCCCTGGGTTGGGCAGTGTATACTTGGACTCAGTGGAAAAGTGTGAGCAATAACTGAGCAGTATCCTAGATGTGGGCAGTGGAACGAGAAGTGTCTACCACATGTAGATTCAATAAATGGTTCAGTTCAGGAATTCCCTGTAGGTTACTTGGATTGATATACACCTGATGAAGGCTAGAGGGCACAATGGCTGAAACTTGATAGTGACAACAAAGATGAGGACAATAGTTTGAATGTAAATAGTGTAAGTAATAATTTTATATTGCAGATTCTTTTACACAGTAACACAAACATTTTCTTTCAGTCTAGAATGTATATCTTTGTGTCGCTTTATTGAAAAATTTTGCTTGAATTCTCATTGTCGGATTGGAGTACAGGCATCCCTCGATTAACGTGCATTCAATTAATGCACTAAAATTATTATATACCAAAATTTGATTAGTGTATACATAATACTCACTTAGTGCAGTAAAACCATACTAATTGAAAATTGATTCTTTTTATAGTAACCAATGTATTAATTAGTTACACTAATCAAAGGATTCCTGTACACAGAATTTGAACAACTACAGATTTACTTTTGGGTATTTACAATAAAATTTTGTAATTCCCTCCAAATTAAAAAAAAAATAGCTTTAAAAATCTGGCCTCCTTTTTGCCCTTGATTTGAAATATTGTTATTCAATAATGGTATTTTTATAACCAAGAAATAAAAGGAATTTCTAAATAATTATTATCTGCTGTAATTTTAATTGCTTTATTTTTCTAAAGAAGATCTGAATTTAGCATGTATGGAAGTTTTTATTTTTGATTTTGCATAATAACCAGATCATTTTCTTTGAACATTTGCAGCTTGTCATTATATGATGATTAAGACATCTTTTGATTGTGACAGATATGTATAATTTTATATCAATTTAGACATCCATATAATAGTGATTATTTTTTTTTTTTATTTTTTTTTTTTTAACTTGTTTAGATGTGGCACAAAGCCGAAAGTATAGGGCACCCAATGAGGATTGAACTCGTTTCTCAGTTGAAATTGTTCTAGTGAAACAAGCTTGCTGCTATACCACACTGAGGTGCCCTAAATGATATTCTAAGAGTAGCTTAGATGTGGTACAAGGCCAAAAGTGTGGGGCTCCCAGTGAGGATCGAACTTGCTTTTCGGTTGTAATTGACAGCCATATAATGGGATGGGAAATGTTATCTTTAGGCATAAGGGTAACAGTTTTAAAAAGACTTATAATGCCTAAATAAAAACCTGTCTAGTAAAGGTGTTTTAGTTTCAAGCAAAACTAAACCAACCACTCTTCCATGATGCTTCAGTGATTTCCTTCAAAAAAAGTTGTATTTTGTCAAAGAATGAAAATTTATATGATTTATTTTCATAATTTATTCATTTAAGCATCTGCTTATGTTATCTTACCCAATGAAAAGGATTTTATTTAATATTTAAAGTATTTTTAACCAATTAATTCAGTTTTAATCCAACAGTATTTTTATTAGTATAAATGTTATATTTATGAGTACATGTGTTAGAGTAGACATCCCAGTTGTTTTTTTGTAATAGGTTTTTTTATCTCACTAATTTTATTATCTCAAGTGAGACACTTTGTTCTATTCAAACATGTGTACCTATGTAATGTTTATAGCATTTAAGAAAAATTTAAAGTATTGTAAACCTTGCCACAACATCTGCTCCTGCTGTAAGTGATACCAAGTTGTTACTTAATTATTAATTATGTTTGTGATATTTAACTTGTAATTAAATTAACTAATTCTACTTCGTTTTAACGCTTTTGTTTCTCTTAAAATATATTTACATTTAATTTACACATACACCCATTTTCTATGTATGTTATTTCATATGTGCAGTACTTATTGGAAAGGGCTCAATATCAGTGATAGTTAACATATTCAGGTGTATGGATATGAATTTGTGACCCTGGTTTTCACACTTTTGTGACCATCTAAAAAAACAAAAACCAGTTCGTCTGATGGTTGCAAAAGCGTAAAACCCAGGGTCACAATCTCATATCTATACAACTGATATATATATATATAATGTAATATTAGTGGTAAATATACACATACATATGCAAAATATATATATATATATATATATATATATATATATATACATACATGCATACATATACATAAAAAAAAAAATAATTCCAAGAGGATAGAATCCAGGTAGAACTCAATGTCCAGGACAGAGTAAGGATATAATAAAAAGGCTTAAACACTAATATACATATACACACACACATATATAATTATTTTTTATAAAAAATAATATCTGCTCTACTTTGTATTGAGCACTCTTTTAAGAATAGTAATTGTTGGTTATTGGAATTCATTCCGTATAT